CTCTGACCTCTGGTGGGGCTCAGCCCCGCTGTCTTCATGACTAAATCATGGAGTAAATAAGGAAGTGCAGTACTTCTTGTGTTGGGAAGATGGTGATGAGTGATAGAGGGGGTGGGGACCCTCGTCCTATAATCCCCTCATCACTGTCCCTCCTATAAAAGACAGTTCTGGTTGTTTCCTCACTCTCTGACTAAGGTCCATGAATAAAGAAATGACCTGGTAGGAGATTAGAGGAGCCATTTCCTAGTTCCCTTGAGGGTGGAATTGTAAGCTCCTCAGAGACCAAGCTGCCTGATGTGGGCGGAGTCCTGGTTTGGGGGAACCAATCAGCTCCTGTCTAGTAATCCTCTTTGTCTTTGTATTTTAGTCCATGGCCGGGAGATGAGGAAAACCTCCGAGGATTGTCTCACTTTGTCTCCAGACTGGAAAGTAGAAGATGAGGACATCACACAGTATAGTCCAGGAGAAAACCCGGCTCCCTGCAATGTCCATCTGGCACCACCCAGTGTAGATGGACCATCGGATTCCTCGTATCCTGAGGAACCTCAGACTGTGCGGGACCGGGCCAGCCTTCCAACAGGGAGGAGCTTCTCCTGTACTGAGTGCGGGAAATGTTTCCCTTCTAAATTCCATCTTAATGAGCATAACAGATCTCACACGGGGGAGAAGCCGTATTCCTGTCCTGAGTGCGGGAAATGTTTTTCACAAAAGTCTAATCTTAAAACACATCAAAGGCTTCACACAGCTGAGAAGCGATATTCCTGTACTGAGTGCGGGAAATGTTTCCATTATAAATCCAAACTTAATGAGCATGAAAGATCTCACAGAGGTGAGAAGCCGCATTCTTGCCCTGAAGAAGATGAGGACATCACACTGTATAGTCCAGGAGAAAACCCAGCTCCCTCCAATGTCCATCTGGCTCCACCCAGTGTAGATGGACCATCGGATTCCCTTGTATCCTGAGGAACTTCAGACTGTGCGGGACCAACAGTCCCTTCCAACAGGGAAGAGCTTCTCCTGTACTGAGTGCGGGATGTGTTTTCCATGCTAAATACCATCTTAACGTGCATAAAAGATCTCACACAGGTGAGAAGCCGTATTCCTGTCCTGGGTGCGGGAAATGTTTTTCACAGAAATCCAATCTTGTCAGACATCAGAGATCTCAAATGGGAGATAAGCCGTTCTCCTGTCCTGAGTGTGGGAAATGTTTCCGTTTTAGATGCCATCTTAATGAGCATAAAACAACTCACACAGGAGAGAAACCGTATTCCTGTCCTGAGTGCAGGAAATGTTTTTCACAGAAATCCCAGCTTATCGTACATCAGAGATCTCACACAGAAAAAAGCCGTATTCCTGTACTGAGTGCGGGAAATGTTTCCGTTTTAATTGCTATTTTAATGAACATAAAAGAATTCACACAGGAGAAAAGCCGTATTCCTGCCTTGAGTGCGGGAAATGTTTTCCACAGAAATCCCAGCTTACCGTACATCAGAGATCTCACACGGGGGAAAAAGCCATATTCCTGTCCTGAGTGCGGGAAATGTTTCCGTTTTAAATGCCATCTTAATGAGCATAAAAGAACTCACACAGGAGAGAAGCCGTATTCCTGTCCTGAGTGTGGGAAATGTTTTTCACGGAAATCCATTCTTTACAAACATCAGCGATCTCACACGGGGGAGAAGCCATTTTCCTGTCTCGAGTGCGGGAAATGTTTTTCAAATAAGTCAAATCTTTTCCCACATCAGAGATCTCACATGGGGGAGAAACCGTATTCCTGTCCTGAGTGCGGTAAATTTTTTTCAGTGAAGGCCAGTCTTTACAAACATCAGAGATTGCACAGGGGGGAGAAGCTGCTTTCTACTCTAGAGTGAGGGAAATGTTCCTCACTGAAGTCCTGTCTTCCTGTACATCAGGGGTCCCACACAACCCTGGAGGTGTATTAGTGCCCTGAGTGTGGGAAATGTCTTCTAGATGAATGTTGCTGGACATCCCAGCTCTCATGGGGAAGAAGCACACCCTGATATACACCTCAGATATACTCCATGGCTGATCATCATGGAAGGAACAGTTCATAAGGAGATCAGAGGCCCCCAAAGACATGGATGAAGTGTGGGACCGGGTTGGCCATTGATGGCAGGAGAAGAATATAAATGGAGTCCTGCCCTGTGATTGGCTGAGTACATTTGTGGTGGGAGATTTCACAAACACTTGGAGGTCTATTATTGATACTTTGTGGACAAATGTTCCAAGCACTCATTAGGCCCACAGTTGGAGGTGAGGACAATACTTGCATGGTGGGGGATCACTGAAGAGGTGGGTGGTAATAAAATGTCCCAATTCTAGAAGAGTGACTGATGGTGTACACATGGAAGCAATGGAATTGTGTGTATACCGGGAATGAAGGAGTGATTGGTGAATGCACATATTGGGACTTTCCCGTGTCTTTCTCCATACATGTTTCTTCTTGTATGTTTCCCGTGATACAAATGTCTGTGTATATGATCGGCACATGATGGTCTGTCTATGACAAACGTTTTATTGATCTGATCATTTCCATGGTGATTGTAGACACATTGTGATTGGTTGATGGGGGATGGAAAGCACAGAGAGCAGGAAGTAGAGCGCCATCCTTTCTACCTTTCTCTCTATTCTAGTTCAGATTTGTAGCAGAAATCCCCAACATGTAGCAATACACGGACAATTGATATCAGACAATGAGGCAGAGGAAGGCCAATCATGAAGCTGGGGGTGGTGCAGCATAGACTGGAACAGGGTCCTCCAGGAGTGCAGCTCACACTGCGGGCAGAACTCCTCCTACTGGGACATTCAGGCTTCACACAGCTACAGCTGCACTCCCGGGACTGCCACGCCTGGACTGTATATGGGGCGGGTGTGGAGGGATGAGGAGCAGGGATTGGCTAATGGAAAGTGGGAGCATCTCTGAGTTACTGATGGATATACAGTATATGGAGACCAAGGAGAGTTCATCTTCTGCTGGCTATAGATGGGGCCCTTCAACAGTTGGAGTATAGGGGGTGATAATGACTGGGTCAAATCTGCAGAGAAGATGGAGTAATGGGATCTCATTGGATGAAGTGGGGTAGAGGTGTCTGCTAGCAGTGTCCACGTGTGAGAAAGAGAGGAAGTGGGGGAGGGTAAAGGTGTCTGCTAGCAGTGTCCACGTGTGAGAAGTAGAACAAAAGTGGGGGAGGGTAGAGGTGTCTGCTAGCGGGTGTCCACGTGTGAGAAGTAGAGCGAAAGTGGGGGAGGGTAGAGGTGTCTGCTAGCGGTGTCCACGTGTGAGAAGTAGATGGGAAGTGGAGGAGGGTAGAAGTGTCTGCTAGCAGTGTCCACGTGTGAGAAGTAGAGCGGAAGTGGGGGAGGGTAGAGGTGTCCGCTAGCGGTGTCCACGTGTGAGAAGTAGAGCGGAAGTGGGGGAGGGTAGAGGTGTCCGCTAGCGGTGTCCACGTGTGAGAAGTAGAGCAGAAGTGGGGGAGAGTAGAGCTGTCTGCTAGCGGTTTCCACGTGTGAGAAGTAGATGGGAAGTGGGGGAGGGTAAAGGTGTCTCTAGCGGTGTCCATGTGTGAGAAGTAGAGGGCAGTGGGGGAGGGTAAAGGTGTCTGCTAGCTCTGTCCACATGTGAGAAGTAGAGCGAAAGTGGGGGAGGGTAGAGGTGTCTGCTAGCGGTGTCCACGTGTGAGAAGTAGAGCGAAAGTGGGGGAGGGTAGAGGTGTCTGCTAGCGGTGTCCACGTGTGAGAAGTAGAGCAGAAGTGGGTGGGGGAGGGTAAAGGTGTCTGCTAGCAGTGTCCACGTGTGAGAAGTAGAGCGGAAGTGGGGGAAGGTAAAGGTGTCTACTAGCGGTGTCCACGTGTGAGAAGTAGATGGGAAGTGGAGGAGGGTAGAGGTGTCTGCTAGCAGTGTCCACGTGTGAGAAGTAGAGCGGAAGTGGGGGAGGGTAGAGGTGTCCGCTAGCGGTGTCCACGTGTGAGAAGTAGAGCAGAAGTGGGGGAGGGTAAGAGCTGTCTGCTAGCGGTTTCCACGTGTGAGAAGTAGATGGGAAGTGGGGGAGGGTAGAAGTGTCCGCCAGCAGTGTCCACGTGTGAGAAGTAGATGGGAAGTGGGGGAGGGTAAAGGTGTCTGCTAGCCATGTGGGTGGGTCTGCTCCTCACGCTCCTTGGGAGATCTCATATTTTTAAAATGGCCACTTTCCTAAAACTACTTTATCCACTTCAATCCATTCCTCTACTACTCCATCATGGAGACGTAACCAAACTAAACCCAGCTCTCTCACAATTTCTCTGGAGGGGTCGCCGTCCACGCATAGCTTTGCAAAACCTCTATCTCCCGAGGAGCGAGGGGGGATCGGGCCTTCCCAACATTCACATACCGGAGGAGCGAGGGGGGATCGGGCCTTCCCAACATTCACATACCGGAGGAGCGAGGGGGGATCGGGCCTTCCCAACATTCACATACCGGAGGAGCGAGGGGGGGGATCGGGCCTTCCCAACATTCACATACCGGAGGAGCGAGGGGGGATCGGGCCTTCCCAACATTCACATAACGGAGGAGCGAGGGGGGATCGGGCCTTCCCAACATTCACATAACCGGAGGAGCGAGGGGGGATCGGGCCTTCCCAACATTCACATACCGGAGGAGCGAGGGGGGATCGGGCCTCCCCAACATTCACATACCGGAGGAGCGAGGGGGGATCGGGCCTTCACAACATTCACATACTGGAGGAGCGAGGGGGGATCGGGCCTTCCCAACATTCACATACCGGAGGAGCGAGGGGGGATCGGGCCTTCCCAACATTCACATACCGGAGGAGCGAGGGGGGATCGGGCCTTCCCAACATTCACATACCGGGGAGCGAGGGGGGGATCGGGCCTTCCCAACATTCACATACCGGAGGAGGGAGGGGGGATCGGGCCTTCCCAACATTCACATACCGGTAGGAGCGAGGGGGGATCGGGCCTTCCCAACATTCACATACCGGAGGAGGGAGGGGGGATCGGCCTTCCCAACATTCACATACCGGAGGAGCGAGGGGGGATCGGGCCTTCCCAACATTCACATACCGGAGGAGCGAGGGGGGATCGGGCCTTCCCAACATTCACATACCGGTGGAGGGGGGATCGGGCCTTCCCAGCATTCACATACCGGAGGAGCGAGGGGGATCGGGCCTTCCCAACATTCACATACCGGAGGAGGGAGGGGGGATCGGGCCTTCCCAACATTCACATACCGGAGGAGGGAGGGGGGATCGGGCCTTCCCAACATTCACATACCGGAGGAGCGAGGGGGGATCGGGCCTTCCCAACATTCACATATATAACCTTGCATGTCTCTTACATATCAGTCTAGACTGGCTATCCAAGGCGTCTATTTACTCCACCAGCTAGAATCTGACATGGTAACCCGCACAATGTAGCTGCTATTTTACATGCAATATACAGTTGTGTCCAAAATTATTCAACCCCCAATGCTGTAAAGGGTTTAGGGACTATAGTGTACATTTGGAATTGTATTCAGAATCAAATCCTACAAGGACGTTGTAACTACCCAAATTGCAACTAAAATGACATCAATTGTTTATGTAATACAGTAGTAAATGGTTCTTATGTGGTTTCTTCATTGCCACAATTATTCAACCCCTTAAAGACTACCACTCTGAAGAACAGAGGTTCATACAGGTGCTTTCCATCAGGTATTGAAAACACCTGTGGATGTCACCGAGCAGCAATCAAGCATAATAAGCACCAATTAGGCAGCTTTAAAATGACTGTGATACTCAGCTCCTTCTAGACATTTACTGGTGTGGTTACAAACATGGTGAAGGCAAGAGAATGGTCCAGGAAGACAAGAGAAGAGGTGATTTCTCTTCACAGGAAGGGCAATGGCTATAAGAAGATTGCAAAGATGTTAAACATACCAAGAGACACCTTAGGAAGCATCATTCGCAAATTCAAGGCAAAGGGCACTGTTGAAACGCTACCTGGTCGTGGCAGAAAGAGATGCTGACTTCGACTGCTGTGCGCTACCTGAAGCGTAGAGTGGAGAGAAGTCCCCGTGTGACTGCTGAGGAACTGAGAAAAGATTTGTCAGATGTGGGTACAGAAGTTTCAGCCCAGACAATAAGACGCACACTGCGTAATGAAGGCCTCCGTGCCAGAACTCCCAGGCGTACCCCCTTGCTGTCTCCAAAGAATAAGAAGAGTCGACTGCAGTATGCCAAAAGCCATGTGGACAAACCACAAAAGTTGTGGGATAGTGTTCTGTGGACTGATGAAACAAAATTAGAACTGTTTGGGCCCATGGATCAACGCTATGTTTGGAGGAGGAAGAACAAGGCCTATGATGAAAAGAACACCTTGCCTACTGTGAAGCATGGTGGAGGGTCAATCATGCTTTGGGGCTGTTTTGCTTCTGCAGGTACAGGGAAGCTTCAGCGTGTGCAAGGTACCATGAATTCTCTTCAGTACCAGGAGATATTGGATGGAAACGTGATGCAGTCCGTCACACACCTGAGGCTTGGGAGGACGTTTGGACCTTTCAACAGGACAATGATCCCAAGCATACCTCCAAGTCCACTAGAGCATGGTTGCAGAGGAAAGGCTGGAACATTTTGGAGTGGCCATCGCAGTCACCAGACTTAAATCCGATTGAGAACCTCTGGTGGGGACTTAAAGAAAGCAGTTGCAGTGCGCAAGCCTAAGAATGTGACTGAACTGGAGCCTTTGCCCATGAAGAATGGGCGAAGATACCCGTAGATCGCTGCAAGGACACTTGTGTCAAGCTATGCTTCACGTTTAAAAGCTGTTATAAACTGTAAAAGGATGCTGTACTAAGTACTAAGATTGAATGTCACTT